AGATCATTAACTTATCATTTTATGCCTCACAGATATTAAGTGGCGTTCTGCGTGAACTACCCTGAATTATTGTGACTACTGCAGAGCTGAGTCTGAACACTAAGCTTTCGGTGTTCAGGTCGATCTTCATCCCCATGTTTACTTACGGTCATGAGTCGTGGGCCATATCTGAAAATTTTCGATGGATAAAGCGGCGTAGATCAGTGCTATTTCTTCTGATTAAGAAGTCACAGCTGCGATGGTTTGGGCGTGTGTTTCGAGTGCCTCCAGAAAGGAAGGCAAAGCAACTCTTTCTTGACCAGCCGACCTGCAGAAGGCCCAGGGGACGGCCAAGATTAGCCTGGTGCAGTTATGGGAAGAAGGCTGCTCCAGACTCCAATATCCTTTGCCAGAAATCAAATTTTGGCGCAGGGTCGAGAACATTGGAAGCATCGTCTGACGCGTCTATCTCCGCGACCTGAAAGGCGAAGCGGTTATGGAGGATGAGGATAAAGATGAAATACATTTTCTTGTATATGTTTAATTTATAGATACTATTAATTAAGACGGGTTGACCAGCGCAGATCTCTGTTCAGTACAGAGCAAGTTCCTCAACGTTTCCTGACCATTGGATAAGCGACCCGCGAGGAAGCTAAGCTTGGTGTAATTGTTACTCGCTCCCACAGCGATGATGAAGCTCATTGGACCCCGGTTCGTGCCCGAGTTCAAAGGCGCGGCGGATGCAGTTGTGTTACTTGATGCAGTGGCAAATTTATATTGTAAGATAGAGCACATGGTAAAAGTCAAACGATGCAATAAGGTTAGGTTAGGCACCGTTCAGCCATTTTTCGTGGCGGTGAGCAGCTTTGTCGCGATTTCGCTGCGCTGTGCGCTGTTTGCGATGCTTGTGCGATGACCGGTTTCATCCATGTAACGGTTGAACGTTTTCACGGAACTTCTGCAAGAAGCGGTGTCGTCTGCTGGACGACGGACTGTTGAACGGTGATGAGAAACTGTACGACGTCACTCTCTCGCAGCGCGACACAGGCTGTACATTTTCGGACTCTCAGCGACCCTCCTACGAAGTCCGGACACCAGCAGCTTGAAGAAGCCAAACCAGAGTCGTTCTGAGCAGCGACAAATGACGAAGTGCTTTCCATGACATTCGGGCGAAACGAAGTGCTTACATCGGAACTGACTATTTCTACTGATTGCGAATCTCCGCCTTTATCGGACATTAACTGGGGGGGGGGCATCCCGGAAAGGGGGAAACTGCCACTTTGATACGGAAAAGTTAAAGGATTCCGTTACTCTTGAGGTGTTCCAGATAGAAACCAGTAGAAAATTGGCTGCAGTGAACGACGTCACAATCTCCCAACGCCCGTAACTGATCTATAACCGCCTTAAAGAAGGCATTGCTGACGCCGCTGACAAAGTGATTAGCTTCGGCAGCAGAAACACTAAGCAGCCTTGGGTCTCAACAGAAACTTTGTCAGGGAAAAATGCGGTGATGCAGTCGTCCTTCCATGACCCTTCCGAAACGAAGGAAAGAAAGTGCCAGCAGAAACTACTGCAAGAACAGGAAACGATAGCTGGGTTATGAGGCGCTGAAATTGGGCAAGGCAGTGGCGAAAAATGACTGGAAGATGCTATACAGCCAGGAGAATAACATCTTCAAAGGTGGTAAACAAACGCCTATCACCGGCTTGTTACACATCTAGTTCCATGAGCCGCTGCAAGATCTTGACGACCATAGGAAACGATTGACCTAGCACTTCCCAGAGTTCCTGGTCTGGTGTTCCGGTAAATTTTCAAATAGAAGAGGAAGTTGGAGAAAATCTAAATGGTTACTGCGCCCGACCGTTGATCAAAAAAAAATCCGGGATGCGATACGACTCTGTCAAAGCACAAAGTTCTGTCGACATGGCGAGATTGGGGCTGAATCTTGAAATGCAAGGATGAAACACTTTCTCCGGTGTATCCAGTGAATCCACCTGACTTTTGATCGCACCAGGCGATAGTTGGTGATCTCCGAAGACTGGAGGAAAGGCTTCATAGTCTTCGTTTACGAGATGAGGAGTCGCGCCGACTGTACCAGGTATCCAGGAATCACTCTTCCTGCGGATGCTAGAGAAGGTCTTTGCGCGAATCATTCTTGAGAAACTAAGGGAATCCGTCGATCATTCGCTGCGGACTAACCACGCGGGCTTCCGAGGTTGGTACTCATATACGGACAATATCTTAGTTCTGAAGCGAATCATTGAGCACTGCCAGATTTCCGAACTTCTCTGGTATGCGACTTTTCTGGATTTTGGGCAGCCTTCGATTCAGTTCATCGCCTGATAATGTAGCGTTTTATTTGTCACTGCGATTTTCCACATGCGATTGTAAACCTGATAGATGGTCTGTACGAGGGTACTAAATTCGCCGTCATACTGAGGGATCACTGTCGGACTGTTTCAACATTACCAGTGCAGTTCGTCAAGGTGAGGTACTCGTTCCTTTTTTATTCAGTATCATGGTAGACTACGTTACGCGGAAGTACGTTCCCGAATAATAACGACGGACTGATCGTTAGTCAGCGACGCAGCGCGAGATATCTGGCTGTATTTCTAACGGACCGTAAGCATGCTGAGCGACTCCGCATGTGGCCTACTGACACTCACTGAAAGTATGTGCATCACCGCTTTGAGAGTGGGGGCTACGCGTTAACACCACAAAGACGAAGATTAAGAGAGCTCCCGCCTCGACTGGTAGTTCAGATTATGGCATAGCATTACGATGGACGAAATGGACCGTTGGATGGACCAAGTGTCTTGATATTATGTTGTTTAACGATGACGACTTTGATTCTGAAGTGAATCAGCGTATCAGACGGACATTTCATAATTATTGTAGGCTGAGTAACATGGAAGGACTGAGCCTCAATAACGAACATGAGGATCATTTTGAAAGCAGTCGTATTAGCGGTGCTCATGTTCAGTGTCGAAACGTCTGCCATCCTGAAGCATCATGAAGGTTTTCAACAACGCCGTCTGCATAGCATCCTCAAAGTGCGATAATACCAACAGGTCACGAACGAATAGGTACTGACGATCGCCGGTCA